CTCAAGGCTAGCGCTCTACCACTTGAGCCACAGCGCCACTTCCGGCTTTTTTCTTTTTGCTTATGTGGTGCTGAGGAATTGAACCCAGGACCTCATGCATGCAAGGCAAGCGCTCTACCACTGAGCCACCTTCCCAGCCCCTGATTCTTACCAAATTTCAAACTAGCTCAAAAGTAGACTATTTGAGTTCTTCAATTCTTTTTTTTTTTTGGAGGGGGGGGGTCCGGTCGTGGGGCCTGAACTCTGGGCCTGGGCGCTGTCCCTCAGCTCTTCAGCTCAAGGCGAGCGCTCTACCACTCGAGCCACTTTCCGCTTTTTTCTTTTTTGCTTATGTGGTGCTGAGGAATCAAACCCAGGGCCTCATGCATGCAAGGCAAGCGCTCTACTACCGAGCCACCTTCCCAGCCCATTGAATTCTTCAATTCTTTTAGAAAAGGTTCGTTTCAGAGATAGTCATTGTAATTGATAGAAACAAAAAATTAAAACTAAATAGAACCGAGTGCTAGTGACTCATGCCTGTAATCCTAGCTACTCAGGAGGCTGAGATCTGAGGATTACAGTTCAAAGCCAGCCGGTGCAGGAAAGTCTGTGAGACTCTTATCTCCAATAAAACCACCAGAAAACCGGAAGTGGTGCTGTAGCTCAAGTGGTAAAGTGTTCGCCTTGAGCTGAAGAGCTGAGGGACAGCGCCCAGACCCAGAGTTCAAGCCCTACAACCACCACCAACAACATCAACAACAACAACAACAAACTAAATAGAAAAGTATCATGTAAGAACTGTTGGAGTTGCCTAAATCATAACAACTGAATTTGCACAGAGCTTCAGCAAGTACCTGAGGTGCTGGACAATAGGCTCCCATCCCCCCTGTGTTAGGGCCCTGATCTCCTTCCAGTAATCGCTTGTGGTCTTGTGCCGGGGGCATGGGGGCCACTGTCTTCCCATCAGTGAAACACAGACACTATGGAGAAAACAAACAAAAATTCCACTTAGGTGAAATGCCAAAACAGTAAATATGTAACAAGAAATTAAATAGTCTGGGGCAAGTGGCTCATGCCTGTAATCCTAACTATTCAGGAGGCTGAGATCTGAGGACTGAGGTTCAAAGCCTGCTCTGGCATTAAAGTCCGTGAGGCTCTTATCTCCAATTAACCACCTAAAAACCAGAAGTGGTGCTGTGGCTCAAATGGTAGAGTGCTGGCCTTGAGCTGAAGAGCTGAGGGACAGCACCCAGGCCTAGAGTTCTAGTCCCACAACTCCCCCCAACCCACCCAAAAAAAGATAGAAAAAAGAAACTAAACAGTATGTATCTTAACTCTTCAAGGAAAAGACTTCCTTTTGTAAAGAAAAGTTATGTTATGTGAAACAGAAATAACCTATACACATCAAGAAGCAGATCGTGTACACCCAATTTACAAAGCAATTGGGGAGGGGCTGGGAAGGTGGCTCAGTGATAGAGTGCTTGCCTTGCATGCCTGAGGCCCTGGGTTCGATTCCTCAGCAGCACATAAGCAGAAAAAGCCAGAAGTGGAGCTGTGGCTCAAGTGGTAGATCACTAGCCTTGAGCTGAAGAGCTGAGGGACAGCACCCAGGCCCAGAGTTCAGGCCCCACAACTGGCAACCCCCCCCCCAAAAAAAAACCAAAGCACTTGGGGATTATTCAGCCCAAGTGCCGTATGCGCCCTGTCAAACCATTTGGTGTAGCCCTGACCAAGCATCTAAGGCAGGACTCAAAATTCAACAAATCAAACTCAAGGCTGGGCGCTGGTGGCTCACGCATGTAATCCTAGCTACTCAGGAAGCTGAGATCTGAGGATCGCAGTTCAAAGCCAGCCTGGGCAGGAAAGTCCTGGAGACTCTTAACTCCAATACAAAAACCACTAGAAAACCGGAAGTGGCGCTGTGGCTCAAGAGGTAGAGTGCTCAGCTCGACTTGAGCTAAAGAGCACAGGGACAGTGCCCAAACCCAGAGTTCAAGCCCCACGACCAAACAAAAAATAAAAACGAAAATAAATAAAAAATAAAAAAATAAATCAAGCTCAAAATTCAATAAATCCAAGCTCAATTCAATAAATGATGTTACAAATATGCAGATGGCCTTGAGTAGAAAAAGAGATTCCTTACCACAGTAAGAAATTCTAATTTTTTGTAAAGATTTTTTTTCATACGTTGCCTTTTTGTAAAAAGACTTTTTTGATTCTAAGTAGGAATTCAAACAGTTTTAATTCAATAAATCAGTTTATAAGCACAACGTATATTGAACAATGTTTTCTGTAAGCAGCTACAATTTTTGAATTCAGCTCAGGAAAAATTTATCTAATAATAAAATATTTCAATGCTTTTAGCTTGGAATCATCTGGTCACTAAAGCTTTATTCAGGGTAACTATTTTTACTACTTAGTATATGGTAAACTATGTAACTATTATAAATAATAAAATATAAACATAAAATAAGTAAATAAAAATTAAAATAAATAATGAAATGAAGTGTATAATAAAAATATTGAAAACAAAAACTATGAATGCTTGAATTAGCCCAGAACTTCAACAAGGTATTTTTATAAACCCAAATGCCCTCAAGTGGATATACTGGGTATGATTAAGAGGATACATTATTTGTCCATTTGAATCCCAAATGTTATATAAGCCAAAAAAGGAATGTACATACGGACACTTCTTCTCCTTCAAGAAGTTCTTCAATGACGATTGTTTCTCCAGCTGCTCCAAAAGCCTTTTCCTAATTGTAGGTTTTTGTAAAACCAAACCAAACCAAACAAAACAAAAACAGAAAAGAAAAGAAAAGAAAAGAAAAAAAGAATCTGGGTCAATTGGTAAGACTCTACAGTTGATTTCTAAATAATGAAAGGGTATGTGAACACTGTAATCTTTCTCATCTGAAAGACAGATGAAAACATATAAACAATCTGTAACACTATAGTGATTTAGACCTAACATTGCTACAGAGGAAATGAACACATCATTAATGCATGATTAGTCCTCTCATAAGGTGGGGAAAAATTGTTTCATGACAGTTTAAGCTTTATTCCTGATTATGACCATATATGTTTGTCTACAATAATTATGCTAAAGCACGCCTGTGAAAGTAGGTTTCTGTAAGGTGCTTAAGGCAGGCCATGAAATAATTTTATAATCATTCACTGCTTCACTTCTTAGACCTGGAATACAAGGTACCAAGTTTTACCCTAATGGATGACTGGAGAATTATCTGTAGTTGGTGCTAGGGCTTGAACTTGCCCACATCTGGCTTTTTTGCCCATGGATGGCACACTAACATTTGCGCCACACCTTCATTTCTGGCTTCTTGCCCAGGATGGCTTCGAATCAAGATCTTCAGATCTTAGTCTCCTAAGAAGCTAGAATTACACGCATGAGCCACCAGTGCCCAGCAGGAGAATTTGTATGTTCCATTGTCTGAAAACTTTTGAGCTTTCAGTAGCAGATCAGCAAAGGATGTTAGTCAAGGATGGTTTAGTCAATATTGTGGGTTTGATGCGTGTTTTTGTGTGTACATATTCACATTTACATTTATTAACAACTCTGTATCCTGGTAGAATTTCCTGTCTTTAGGAACATTTTGTAAACACAAAGAAATACTTATCCTGGGGGGGTGGGGTGCGGGGAGGATGGGATAGGAAGGGGAAACAAAGGAGTCTATAATGCTTGATAAGAAATGTACTCATTATCTTGCCCATGTAATTGTAACCCCTCTGTACAGTATTTTCACAATTAAAAAAAAGAAAAGAAAAAGGGGGGGGGGAGTTATTGGTACTTAAGCCTGGTGTGGTGGCTTACACTGATAATCCTAGCTACTCAGGAGATCTGAGGTTCATAGTTCAAAGCCAGCCCAGGCAGGGAAGTCCATGAGACTCCGATCTCCAATCAGCCACCAGAAAACTTGAGGAGATGCTATGGCTCAAAATATTAGAGCACTAGCAGTGAGCAAAAAGAGCTTAAGAACAGTGCCCAGGCCATGAGTTGAAGCCCCATGACTGACAAAAAATAAAATAAAAAAATTATTGTTACAAAAAAAAAATACTTATCCTGTGTGAGTAGATAAAAAAATTCTAGAAGCATCGACTTACCTGCATAATCTCTTGTACAGCCTTGCAGGCCTCTTCTTTGCTCTTTGCAACAATCACCCCTTTTCCAGCTGCAAGACCACTGGCTTTTACCACCAATGCAGGGAAGTCTGCACTGTGAAGACAGAGCAACTTCAGCACTCAATAAGCCCTTATGACTCAAAATTGTCAACTGTTTTGGAATTCTGTAATATGCTACAGCAACAACTCAAAGGCAAAAAGAAAAATTATCATTCCAATACCATTTTTATGTACTTCTCACCTGGATTTTTTTTTTTTTTAAGTCATGGGGCTTGAACTCAGGGCTTGCGCTTTTTTAATTTTTCCCCACTCCAGACTAGTGTTGTACTACTTTGAGCCACAGTCCACTTCTGTTTCCCCCTGGCCTCCCCACTTCTGGTGGTTAACTAGAGATAAGAGTCTCACAGACTTTCCTGCCTACGGTGACTTTGAATTTTTATCCTCAGCTCTCAGGCTCCTGAGTAGCTAGGTTTGTAGATGTGAGCCACTGGCCCAGATTTTTTGTTTGTTTATATGTTCCTTTTTCTTTTTCTTTTTTTGGAGCTGGAACTAGGCCTTGAATTTAAGGCCTCAGTGCAGTGCCTTACATTTTTCACTAAGCCTAGTGCTCTACTATTTGAGCACACTCCCAGCTTTTTTGCTTGTTAATTAGAAACAAGAATCTCTCTGGGCTGGGAAGGTGGCTCAGTGGTAAGTAGTGCTTGCCTTGCATGCATGAGGCCCTGGGTTCGATTCCTTAGCACCATATAAGCAAAAAAAGCTGGAAGTGGCGCTGTGGCTCAAGTGGTAGAGCACTAGCCTTGAGCTGAAGAGCTGAGGGACAGCACCCAGGCCCAGAGTTCAGGACCCACGACTGACCAAAAATAAAAAAGGAAAAAATAAAGAATCTCATGGGCTTTGCTGGCTTTGAACTGCAATCCTCAGATCCTGGCTTCCTGAGTAGCTATGATTACAGATATGAGTCACCAGTGCCTGGCTTCCCCTAGTTTCTAACACACAGTATATACAATTTTGTTTTTTCACAAAACTTTTAGAATAAGTAGGCTCATAGAGTAGATATAGAATGATCTTTACAATACAAAGTCAGCTTGTCATTTAAGTACAAGATGTGGTGGAATTCAACCAAAATAGACCTATAGACCATTTCTGAAGTATACTGTAAAGGTATAGAGTGGAAGTGGGGATCTGGAAGGAGGTCAACCTAAAGTATATAACATACTTGTTACTTACCTAAGCCATCTAGCTACCAGGAAATAATAATATCCAGTGCCTAAGAAAGTCTGTAGGATGAACAATGAATAAAGAATAACCTGACCTAACTGAGGCAAAGACGCCAGGTAGCAGGCACTGGCAACAAAAATTAGGCAAACGCTGTCTCTGTCAACCTCATTAATTACTCAATATTTTCCATTTCTGTGGACATACGTAAGTGGAAAGGGAACAGAAGATGTTTAATTTTAAGATTCAGAAAGTACTGGGGGGCAGATGACCAAATCGCTCTTTCTTCTAGTTAATTATTTGTGACAAGAATCACTAAGTGCCACTGTGTCAGATGTTACAAAGAACATGTGACTTATGGAATTAAGTTTATTATTGCCCTTAGAAAGTACTTACTAATAAACATTCAGATTTCATCTTTCTGAAATGCTGCAATATGATATATAGTTTTATCTTATTTTGGTGTTAGCAAAAGATACCTTGCTGAATATTTACTAAGAATATTATTTTTCTGTAATGAGTTCACGGCAAACCATACAGCCTACGGACCAAACATAATGTTTTCAACATAAAAGTAACTTTAAGTAAATTTCATTAAAAAACAACTGCCCTTTACAGTTAGCCCATGACATACTTCATAATGAAGCTGCAGGCCTCTTCAAGTTTGGTGAAAGCTCTCCATCGTGCAGTTGGGATCCCATGTCGATCCATGAACTCTTTGGCAAATTTTTTGCTGGACTCCAACTGAGCTGCTTCTGCTGTGGGGCCGAAGCATCGTACTCCTGCAGAGGTCAGGTCTCCAACAATTCCTACAGATGCAAACAGTCACTTATGGGACCCAGTGTCTCTCTGGGGAGAGGACTGGTGGCAGAACTTGTTTTTAACGTTGTCTACATTTTAAAACCAAATGCTAGCAAGAGGCAACTCAAATCTAGCAGAGAAGCTGGGCAATGGGGATCATGTCCGAAATCCCAGCTGGTCAGGAGGCTGAGGTAGGAGGAATGTTCATGCCCATTTGCTGGAGCCCAGACTGGGCAACAAAGCAATACCTCTTATAAATTAGAACAACAAAAAAGTCAACAGCCAGGCACCAGTGGTTCATGCCTATAACCTTAGCTACTCAGGTAGCTGAGATCTGAGGATCACAATTTGAAGTCTAGTACAGCCAGCAAAGTCCACAAGACTCCTATCTCCAATTAACCAGAATAAAGTCAGAAGTGGATCTGTGGCTCAAGGGGTATAGAGCTTGCTTTGAGCTAAAAAAAATAAAAATGCTTAGCAACAGTGTTGAGACCGAGTTCAATCTCTAGGACAGGCTAAAAAATAAACAAATAAATGGAAGTACACTTACCAGCAGCCAGAGGTGCCTCAGGTCCAACAACTACAAACTCAATTTTTTCATCTTTGCAGAACTGAGCAAGGGCAGTGTGATCACTGACGGGGATAGCTGTGAATAGAGAACATAATCCACCATATTTAGAAAATGTTTCAGTTAACTAAGTAGACAAAAGTTAAGTACAGTTCATTTCACCACAGAAAGCATTAAGCTACAGAACATCACACGTCTGCTATCATGTAGCCAATTAGATGATGGGAATATGAGTGAACTTCTCTAAGGGCTATAAATCATGAATGGTCCACAGTACCAGCGTGTGTTGTATAGTAAACAAATGACAATACCTGTCAAATGTGCAGGCTTGTGCCTGTAAGTCTAGCTGCATGGGAGGTGGAGATCTAGAAGATTCCGGTTTGACACTGACCCAGGCAAAATGAAACAGTACATCTTTACAAACAAGTGGAACGTGCCCTTGGTCCTAGCTATATAGGAGTATGTAAGTAGCAGGATGGAGATCCTACAAGCCTGGGCGCTGATGGCAAATCTATAATCCTAGGATGTTGAGATCTGAGGACTACAACAAGTCAGACAGAAAGTCTGTAAGACTCTTATTTTCAATAAACTACCAAAAAGCCAATCCTGGAACTGTGGTAAAAGTGCCAGTCTTGAGCACAAAATCTCAGGGACAGTGCCTAAGCCCTGAGTTCGAGCCCTGGGAATGGCACACACACACACACACACACCAGGAAATTCAACCTTATGAACACTGGGCTACCTTAAATTTACAACATATTGCAAGTATTCACATTACCACATAAATATGTAAAGTTAAGGTATTCATTCACGGTGGAAAATGACTTAAACTAAAAGCACTCAGCTTTCCCCCTGCAGCCACATCTTAGGACTCTCGTGGCTGCTGAGCCAGCTGAATTTCCCCTCCCCTTTCCCCTGAACAAATGTACACAGTAGTCTTGGAAGAGAGCCTGAGATCAAGGACACATCTGACGTTGACACCTCTGGTGGACACAGAGGCTTTTGAAACCTTGAAACGCCTCAGTCAAAATAAGATTGCTTTTCTATCATGTCTTTACCTCACCAACTTCATTCATTCTGATGAATATTTCAAGAGACTCTAGTTATAAGAGGGGCATGCTATTTTGCTATTTCCCCTTCAGGCAGGCTGAAGGATACTTGGCTGTCCTTCCCAGGTTTTTTTTTCTGAATAAAGCCTGTTGGTCTTGAGTTCATCCTTTCTGTTCTTTCTCTTTTATTAAAATTCAACCTTGAATAAGGGCAAATAGGATCTATAGTTCATAATTAACTATTAGTTCCATTTTTTGAAACATAATTACCAGTATTTGAAATCTTTCCAGAGCAGGCAGTGCCTGCATTTCCTGGGGCAACCAACACTTGTTTGACATGATGAGACTGTGCAAGTTTCCAGGCCAATGTATGCTCCCTTCCGCCACTTCCAATTACAAGTACTCGGGCTGTCATTGCTTCCTGCAGAGTTGGAATTCAAAAGGAAAACAAATCTGTGGAAAGAAAGTCACAGTTGACACGTCACAATGTGCATAATTTAGAAACTACAACTACTACAGGATATTACTCAGGAGGCTGAGTTGTGAGGATGGAGGTTTGAAGCCAGCCTGGAAAGGAAAGTCTGAGACTCATATCTCCAATTAACCATCAGAAAGCCAGAAGTAGAGTTTGAACGAAAAATCTCAGGGTCAATGCTAAGGTTCAGAATTCAAGACAGACAGACACGCATGCGCACCTGCACACACACAAAGACAGAGGAGAAAAAAGTGTAAATTTAATCTAACCGTGGTATTGATATTTAGATGTGAGTCCTTGGAGAGGAGATTATTAGGTTTAGATAAGATCATTAGTGTGTGAAGCCCACCTAATTGAATCCTGGGAATTTTGTAAAAAGAGACCACACAGATACAGAACAAATCTGTTACAGAACATACTCTCTTTTTTCTGTTTTAAACCTGTCTGAGCCTTTGGACTCAGGGCCTCCCAGTTGCTCGGCTTGCAGTCTACTAATTGAGGCCCACTTCCAGCCTGGGTTTTTGCTGTTTTGGAATATTTTTACTTTTGTATAATGTGGCTATATAAAGATGAACTGAAATGACAGTTACAGGACTGAACCATAGTGGTTTCATACTCATAACCTCAGCTACTTGGGAGGCCAAGATTGGGAGGACTGAGGTTCAAGCCTAGCTCAGGCTAACAGATATAAAGGTACAAGTCTCTAATCCCAGCTATATACAAATCACAGGAAGATCACAGTGATAAGACTGGTCAAAAAAAAGTAAGATATCATCTGTTAAATAACCAAAGCAGGAACTGTAGGCACAGCACAAGTGGTCAAGTGTCAGCTATGAGTGAGAAAGCGCGCACACACACACACACACACACACACACACACACAGAATGAATGTGACTGATACACTTAATGCACTCAACGTTAGAAAATACTAATTTGTTATATTCTTTTTTTTTGGTCGGTGGTGGGGCTTGAACTCTGGGCTTGGGCACTATTTGCTCAAGGCGAGCGCTTTACTGCTTGAGCCACAGAACCACTTCAGGTTTTCTAGTGGTTTATTGGAGATAAGAGTCTCACAGACTTTCTTGCCCAGCTGGCTTTGAACTGCAGCCTCCTGAGTAGCTAGGATTACAGGTGTGAGCCACCGGCACCCGGCTCTAACTTGTTATATTCTTTTATTCAAATGTACATAAAAAACAAACTAATAATTCAAATAAACTAAAGGAGTTTTCAGTATTTACTTTGTACCTGATACCAATTTGAAGTGCTTTTAATGAATTACCTTGCCTGATTTCCTAAGAAATCAGGTAGATCTGTCATCCACTTTAAGGGTAAGAGATGGAAGCCCTGTTAGATAACACCAATTAGCTGGAAGTCACATAACTAAGAGAAGGCAGAGTACTGATACCCATTGAAGCCATTTTGCATCAGATACTCTAACAATTGCCGTGATGGTCATTCAAAGCTGAGGAAAGAAAAAGAAATCTGCTATAGTCTCAGGAGAAAAAGCTATTTCAGTTTAGTGGAAAACATTTTATATGCATTATGTACTTAACTGTCTGAAACACATTACCTTTCGGTGCAAAAAAAAAAATCTACGAAGCTGAGTAAGAAAGGCAGCTTAGGGGCTGGGAAGGTGGCTCAGTGGTAGAGCACTTGCCTTGCATGCCTGAGGCCCTGG